AGTGGCATACAAGGTGGTGAGAAAGGGGTATATAATCATCAGTACGCAAACGGAGAAAGTTTAGTAACATCTACCAACCAAACTAATAATATAAGTACAGTACAGTACAGTACTGTAGGATCAGTATAACTTCTAAATTCTCGGAATATTCGGATAAAAATTAGGCCCTATTAAAAATTATGTGTTTTTGACAAGTATTATCCACACAAGATGAAAAGTACTGTATTTTCTTTTTATTAAATGTTTGTTTATAGAAAACTGAGTAAGTAAAAGACAGTTCTATAAAAATAAAAATGAAAATCTTATTGAACAAGCTTAAACGCACTGCATTTAATCCTCTGGTATATTGTTTCATTTCTATCAATGTGGCAAGGTAGCTCATAATTTTTACAATTTATGAAACTTCAAAAAACTTATTTTTTGTCAAAAATTTTGAAATGAAACTACCTCCTTTTTGTATCATGCAAGGCGAATTAATATAAGGTGATAGCAGGAGTACAAAAACAAAAATTTACATGTATTTTGTTTTTGCTTTGGCGGCATAAACTGTCAAAATCTGTAAGAGTGTGTGTAGAAATTCAAACAAAATTTTTCAATTTGATATCAGAAGCCGTACGGCGAAACACATACACAAAATCAGCTGAGCTAGTAACACCACCTTATATAAATTCGCCTTGGTATCATGATTTTATGTACAAGTATTAACATTTCAATACTACTTTGATTGAAAAAATATTGTAATGATTGTTTGCTTAAACATTGATTGTTTTAATTTGAAATTTTAATTTTAAAACTCATTTGTTTGGAAATTGTTTCAAACGTGCATCAAGTTTTAACGCCTTATCGCACGATATACAATTCACATGAACCTTATTTAACAAACTGCACGGAAAAAAATTGTGTTCGTATGTCACGGTCGTCAAAACTCGAGAAAGGCTGAACCGATTTGAATAATTTTTTTTTGTATTGTTCGGTATAATACCAGAACCAATGATATCTTAAAAAATGTGATGGGTGCCTCCTATTTAAAATTTTGAGGAGGGGTGCCACCTGTTTGAAAATTTAACTCAATCAAATTGGTAAAAGAAACGAAATGTTGCAATATAGGCAACAAACTAAAGGCATTTAAGAAATCTTGATTTAGAAATATTTTTAATAGGATTATGCCCTATCTAAAAGTAAAGACTGCAAATATCGGAACTAATGAAATATTACATAATTGTTTCCAAACGGGGAATTAGGGAATGCTTTACTAGAGATGTTTTTTTATGTTTCCACTTACCCAAAAGCCGAACAGTTTAAATGAAGAAAGAATTTACAAAATCTTATCAAACGAAGTGATCATATTATCAACGAAGAGTTGGTATATAAATTTCGCAATGAAAAAGAAGAATATAAAAAACTACTGATAAAAATGAAAAAATTATAAAACCCATACCTAGCGAAAACAAAAAAATACGACATCATCGGTAACAAAAACCTCAAAGTCTCCCCTGCCTTTTCCAAGTTGAATAACGAAGCAAAGCGATTGGGCTTGGTGATCAACGAGGACAAGACGAAGTATCTCTTGTCATCAAACAAAGAGTCAGAGCATTCGACCCTTGGCACCTACGACACTGTTGCCAGTTGCAATTTCGAGAAAGTAGACAATTTCGTTAAGTTAGGAACCAGCATAACACCGATAATCGACATCCAATGCCGAATTACTGTATAGTGAACAAGTGATACTTTGGACGGAATAGGCAATTCGGCAGTAAAGTTCTCTCTCGACGTGCAAAAACCACACTCTATAAGACATTCATCATGCCCATGCTGGTATATGGCGCAGAAGAATGGACAGTGACAAGATCCGATGAGTCGGCTCTTGGAGTATTCGATAGAAATATCTTACCGAAGATTTAAAGGCCCCTACGGGTTGGCGACGATGAGTACCGCAGATAATGGAACGATGGGCGGTATAAGCTTTACAGCGGCTCCGCTGGCTTCGCTGTGGTTCGAATGGGAATCGCGTTCCAGGTCTAAAAGTATTCGACTCGCAATTCGCTGGTAGTAGCACAGGAAGAGGGAGGTGCCCACTGCAATGGAAATACCAAGCGGAGAAGGACATGGCTTCCCATGGCATTTCCAATTGGCTCACGTTGGCGCAGAGAGAAGCGACTGGCGTGCTTTGTCGAACTCGACTAAAATCGCTTATGCGGTTACAGCGTTAAATAAAAATACGCAATGATAAATGACCTTCTTCTTAGATGCGCCAGGGGGAACTAGGGGAACATTCCTTATAAGATTGTGGCAACGGTTCGATGAAAAAATTACATAGCCGTAGCTTTCGCTTCGTCTGGAACATCTGCGACATTGTTATGTTACCAGGTGGAAACACTTTTCATTCAGCTCTTATGCTGCCATCCGGTATGGGAAAAGTACTTATTACAAAAATGTAAACTCATTGTTTGGGATGAGTGCACGATGGCACTTAAAAAATTGCTTGAGGTTATTGATCGATCGGTGCGAGATTTGCGTAGAAATGTTCAACCATTCAGGAAAGCATTGATATTGCTCGCAGGAGATGTTATGCAAACATTGCTTGTAATTTCTCGATTGACACCAGCGGACGAGATAAATGCTTGCCTGAGATATTCAACATTGTGACAAGACGAACATACATACATTGCAGTTGACTGCGAATATGCGTGTCCAACTACAGAGCAATTATTTAATCAGCCTAGGTATTCTCGCGGCAATTACTGAACATAGGGAACGGAAAGCTGCCAGTAAATGAAAAATTAGCACGAATTTTGTTGCCTGATAATTTTTGTAACTTAGAAACATCGAAAGGAGAACTGATCGAAAGAATGTTTCAGGATATTCAAATTAATTATAGGAATCACGATTGGCTCAGTGAACGAGCTATTCTTGCCGCGAAGAATAAGGATTTCTATCAACTCAATAATGTTTTCCGATGCAGCATTCGAAAGGATGAAATAACATATATGTACGTCGATAAACACCGTTTTGGAAACAAATGAAGCAGTTAATTATCCAACGGAATTTTTGAACTCTATTGATCTTCCAGTGATTATCCAACATACTGAAATTGAAAAAAAAAGTGTGGCAATTATCATGTTGCGGAATATTAATCAGCCAAAACTCTACAACGGCGAGCGACTCGCAGTTAAGAAATTGATGAACAAGGTAGTGAAAGCAAAGATTTTATTTATTTATTTAGTCTAAATTTTCACAGTACAGACTATCACAAAGTTTAAGCTTAACAAGTACATACGTAAGTATAAGATACGATACAAAGCAAATCTTACAAATAAATTACCAAATAGAGCTAGCGAGGATTATTACAGAGATAAGAAGTAATGATATTACGCAATGCAGGCCTTGGCAAAGAAAAATCTAAATCTAAAGACCGAGAGAGCAAGTTCATATCTGTTAGCGTTCTTTTCATTGGGGCATTCAGGCCATAAACTGTTCTACTTACACTTACATTAAATAAGTCAGCACGCCTAATAATTCTATATGGTACATTGAAGCTAATTCTACCAAGAAGGGCGGGGCAATCAACTTTCCCTGAAATAACATCGGTAATACAAGAGATGGACAATGCTAGCCTTCTATTATTAAGTGCCATTAAGTTAATTAGCTGACATCTAGAAAAATATGACGGGACAGGTACTAAAAAATTTAGTGTACGTAAAGCAAACCGAAGAAAGACTTTTTGAACCGATTCAAGTCGATTGATGTGAATTTGATAATATGGTATCCAAATGAACGCAGCATATTCGAGTTTATTTAGATCGTATAAAAGCTGAGTACAAAACTTTTAACGTGTATGGGTCATAAAAGTGTCCACTGATTCGCCGGACAAAAGCTAGCATAGCAAATAAACTAGAAATTGTATAATTAATATGTGTAAGAAATGAAAACTTCGAGTCAAAGAACAAACCAAGGTCTTTAACCTCAGTAACCTGCCCTAACTTCGAATTTGAAATATGATATGTAGTTTGCAACGGCTTCTGCAGTTTAGAGAACGTTATCTTATGACATTTCTTAATATTAAGAGACAATCTATTCATAACGCACCAATTCTGCAACATGTCAAGCTCAGCGTGAAGCACAAATGAATCCGGGGATTCATTATGACTGAATAAATGTTAAGATCATCAGCATAAAGAAGCAGCTGAAAAGCAAGATTTGATGTCATTAATGTATAAAAGGAAAAATAAAGGACCCAAAATGCTTCCTTGGGGTACGCCAGACGCAGGCATAAAAGATTTAGAGCGGACACCATCTACAACTACGGTCATTTTTCTATTTGCTAAATAAGCCTTTATCCACTGTAAAATCACAGAGTGAAATCCAAGATGGACAAGTTTCGCAACCAAAATTTTGTGAGAGATCCTGTCGAACGCCTTCGAAAAGTCCGTGTAAATAGTATCAACTTGAAAGCCATTTTTAAACGCGGTAAAGCAATCATCAGTAAAAACAGCTAGGTTCCATGCACAAAAGCCATGTTGATTCGCACAGCGCACGTTCTTAATATTAAAAAATAGTTTGTCTTTCATCACACATTCAAACAGCTTTGAAACAGTTGGTATCTTTGAGATAGGCCTATAATTACTAACATCGCTTTTGTTTCCACGTTTAAAGATGGGCATGACTGACGTTAGTTTCCTGTCATCTGCACACACCCGAGGAGAGTGACCTATTAAACATAATTTTCAACGGTGCGGGTAATGAAAGGCAGCTTTTCAATAAAACCACTGAGATGCCATCTACGTCAGTGTGCGCAGAATATTTTAGATTATTTATGTAGGAATTGTACCAAGCACCCTATATTTACAAGAGTATGCACAAGCATACATCTCAGCCAATCACAAGAACATATACAATTCGCGAATACTCACAAACATCCATCTCAGTCAAACGTATGAACAAACATAATTAGGCAATTCACGCACAAACATCCGATTCAGTCAAACACAGGAAGAGACAACTATTAAAATGACATACATACAAACATACAAATCAATCAAAAGCAATAACGAGCATCATGGGGTGAACTGACAAAAAATGAGAAGCCAAAGGACAGTTCGCGCTAACGACTGAAGCTGACCGGTGGTATTGATTAATACTCCCAAGTTTTACCTTTAAACATTAAACTAAAGTTAAATAAATATCTAATTAGAACTAATCTATACTAAACTAAACGACTTAAGCTAAATAAATGGCTAAAACTAGTACTAAATGTTAACCTAATTGAAATTAAACTATCTTAAATTAAACTATATTCTATAAACCACCAAAAATACGTGTTTTATTAATTAAAACCTACAAAGTGGGGGCTCAACCGATTGAAAACCGAGAAAACTGAGTGCGCGTTTGAAGGCGTAAAAGTTTTAGCCAAAAACTTAAAAGAAAAACTAATGTGCAAAGTGAAATCTCTAATTTGAATAAAAATAATTTTCAAAAGAGGTGCAAACCCATTACAAAAACAAAAAGAAAAGCAAAAAATCGTGTAATTTGACAAAAATACATTTCAAAAGAGGTGTAAAACCCATAGCAGCAACAAATCGGTGTAAATTGATCACATAGGTTCTTGAACCAAACTGTACCAAAAAATCAAAGCCATCAGGTGTCCAGAAATCTATATAAGTAGGCGTCGGTACAAGTGCATCAAATTGTGTTGTTGCGTAGTTGACTTAGCATTTGCGGAAGCATTAGTACAGTCAGTGTATACATATATACATACAAACGACGTTGTGAACAAGAAATCAAAGCCATCAGGTGTCCAGGAAGCTTAGTAGGCTGGTTGAGTGGCGTCGGTACAAGTGTATCAAATTGTGTTGTTGCGCAGTGAACTTGGCGTTTCAGTAGCGTCAGTACAGTGTTTGTACATATCTACAAACAGACAAGCGTTGTGATGGTAAAAGGGTGGTTTTTTGCACATAGCCAGTAGCGAGCAAAGACAAGGCGTCGGTTTGTGTTGCTACGTGCTAAGAACATTGAAAGTGTCGTATTGTTTCCAATAAGAAGATACAAACAGACATATGTACATAAGTGAAGCGTAAGCAAGTGTTGGTGGACAGAACAGTGTAGTAACACATATACATAAGTGTATTTACATAACGACGCTAGAAACTGTCGTTTTACATTAAAGCTGAAGAAATATTAATGGTACGAATAGTACATAGCGAGAGTAATAGAGATCGCAATACAACAAAGTAAAACTCACAAAACGTTTGAAATATAGGTAAATTGAAGAAGCAACAGTTCAGTAAATGCAGCAATAGAAAAGCAGCGCAGCGGCAAGGCAATAGAAGCAGAAGTCATCGAAAGCAGCGATTACTGAAGACAAAGTACCCAGCAGGAAAAAGATAAGTTAAGAAGAGAAATTTGTGTTAAATCAACTTTGCTTGTTGTTTGCGTATTTTGTTGTACGTTCAATAGTAAATAGTAAAGTATATTGCATTTAAATAAACAAACTACTAAAGATATTGGTAAAAACCGAAGAAAATAATAAGAATTTGTGAAATTAAAAACAACTAATTTTTCAAGATTAAAAGCAGATTGCGTTTATAAACGTGTACAAATTTCGTTCGAATTTTCATAAACAACTTCATTCATTGAAAAACTAGAATCTGAAAACTGGTTATTAATTTAAAATCTGTAAAAAGTAGAGATAATTTTCAAAGGAAAATTTAAAACTTGGATATATGTAATTATATTTTACAATAATTTTGAATCAAAAATTATATTTTAAAAGTAGTAATATATATATTTTAAATTGAATATCGATAAAAATTTTCAAAATGGATGCTCAAGCAATATTAAATATGACTGTAGTGTTATTAAAGACGAAACTTGGGGAGTTAGATTTACCACTGGACGGACGGAAGAAGGATCTGAGGGAAAGACTTCTCAGACATTATGGGTTACTGAACGATGAGGAAGAAGATAAAGAAGAGGAAGAAAATGATTTTGAGTCGGTGTCATCACGGGGGGAAGCGGTTGTTGTCAGCCCTAGGCTAGTCGCAGGTCCCCATTTTACTTTTAAAGATATTCAAGACAGCTTGGCTTTATTTAATGGAACAGACAATTTTGATGTTAACCAGTTGGGTGGAGCAATTCGAGGAGAGCGCAGAAACTGTAGGGTGGACCGAGGTTCACAAGTTCATTTACGCTAAACAGCTGTTGAGAGGGGCAGCGAAGTCGTTCGTTAGAAGTCAAGTAGGTCTGAAAGACTGGAATAAGTTGAAAGCGGCTCTCATTGCAGAATTCGGGGTCAGCTTATGTTCAGCAGAGGTGCACAGAATATTGAGAAATCGACAAAAGAAGTATAGTGAGACATTCTTAGAGTTTTTGTATGCGTTGATGGAAATCGGGAAAAAGATTCATTTAGATGAGGCAAGTCTGTTAGATTACTTTGTGGCAGGGATACCGGACACCAGGTTCAACAAAACCGTCTTATATCAAGCCAAAAGTATCAAAGAGCTAAAAGAACAGATAAAAATTTACGAAAAGATTTCGACGAAACCGAAATCTACCGCGTTAGATTTTAAGCCGAAAAGTGAAAAGGTGGATAAAGATAAAGCGCAAGCAGGCGAAAGGAAATGTTTTAAATGTGGAGATGCGTCTCACGTAGCTAAGGACTGTACATTGAAGGACCAACAGGTCAAGTGCTTCAAATGTAGTAAGATGGGACACAAGTCTTATAAGTGTCCAGGAGAGAATGTTAAGGTGAAGTCAGAAAAGACGAATTTGAACACGGTAAAGGAGATTAAATGGAAACCTTCGAGAGCAGATAGGGATTTAAGATTCAAGAAGTTAAAGGTGGGTAATACCATTTTCCCAGCTTTACTTGATACGGGAAGCGGTTTATGCTTAATACGGCAATCGACGGTAAACGAGTTAGATTTTGGGTTAAGGATTAACGGAGATAAGCGTAGATTAGAAGGGATAGGTCATCGGGAGATATGTACCTCAGGAAGCTTTAACGCGAAGGCGTTGGTGGACGACGTGGAGATAGGGATAACGTTTCATATTATTAAAGATGCAGACATGGATTATCCAGCTATTTTGGGTCGTTCGATACTAAGTCAAGTGGATTTGATAATCCGAGAAGATGGTGATGTACTCACGTACAAACAAAAGGAAGGCAAGGAAACGAGGGTTTCAGAGAGTAGCATACTGGAGTTGAGGGAAGAATTTCCAGGACTGTGTCTACAGGTTGAGGAGGTAGAAGGTTCACAACACGACCTAGCTCACCTCAGTAAAGGTGATTCGGCTGCTATTGACGAACTTGTTAGGCAGTATGTACCGTTGAAGTGTGTAGAATCTCAAGTTGAGATGAAGATTGTACTAACCGACGATTTGCCGGTTTATCAACGTCCTAGGAGAACGTCCTACGAGGACCAAAAATTTATCGAAAAACAGATTAAAACGTGGTTAGATGAGGGTATAATTACTACGAGTAATTCGAACTATGCTTCTCCAATTTTGCTGGTAGGTAAAAAGGACGGAAGCAAACGTCTTTGTTGTGACTACCGAAAGCTAAACGAGAAGGTTTTACGCGACAATTTTCCCATGGCATTAATGGACGAGGTAGTTGAGAGGTTGCAGGGGTCTAAGGTGTTTACAACATTAGATTTAGAAAACGGATTTTTCCATGTCCCCGTTGAAGAAGGTTCACGGAAATATACAGCATTTGTTACAAGCAAGGGTCAGTACGAATTTCTTTATGTACCATTCGGAATATCGAATTCGCCTGCAGTTTTCTGCAGATATATAAACGCGATATTTAGACAGTTGATTAATGACGGGACTATCGTTATTTACATGGATGACATAATCATTCCATCGGCAGACGAGAAAGAAGGTATTTTAAAACTGGAAAAGGTTTTGAACATAGCAGCAAAGGCAGGACTGCGCATAAAGTGGAGAAAGTGTAGCTTTCTGAAACGGAAGGTAGATTTTCTTGGTTATATTATAGAAAACAATACAGTGCGACCGTCGTTAGAGAAAACTCGAGCAGTAAAAGCATTCAAGGTACCGAAGGATCAAAAAGCAGTTCAGAGGTTTGTGGGTTTAACATCATATTTTCGCAGATTCATTAAGAACTACGCACTGATGGCCAAACCATTGACAGACTTACTACGTAGGAATGTAAATTATAAGTGGGGAGATGAGCAAACTATCGCTTTTCAGCAACTTAAGGAGGCTCTTGTACAATCTCCGGTGTTGAAGCTGTATGATCCGAACGGCGTTACAGAAATTCATACAGATGCTTCTAAACATGGTTACGGAGCTGTTCTGTTACAACAAGAGCCAGAGGACCAACAGTTCCACCCGGTCATGTACATGAGCCGAAAGACAAAACCATCGGAAGAAAACTACCACTCTTATGAGCTGGAGGTTCTTGCGATAGTGGAGGCTCTTAAGAAGTGGAGAGTTTACGTGTTAGGGTTACCATTCAAAATAGTGACAGATTGCAACGCTTTTGCGATGACCTTAAAGAAGAAGGACGTACCGACGCGAGTCGCTAGGTGGGCAATGTTCCTTCAAGAGTTCAATTATACCGTGGAACATAGGTCGGGAACGCAAATGAAGCATGCTGATGCACTTAGCAGATTAAGTTGCATGCTTATAAACGACTCACTACGGCACAGATTGAAAGAAGCACAGTTAGACGATAAATGGACTCGTGCTATAAGGAAAATATTAGAGACGTCCAGTTACGAAGATTTTTATATCCGCCATGATATATTATACAAAGATTACACCAGGGAATTGATAGTGGTTCCTAATTCCTTGGAGGAAGA